TATATAAAGTGGTACATATGAGACAAAGCCAAATAACATGCATACAATACCGCACAATCACCAAACACGTATGATTTATGCGCGATCAACATATAATAAAGTATTATGCGTGATATTTGCATAATTAATTATAGTTCTATGTACATTTTAACCTGTTTGAGCAATTGATTAGATTAACTTCTGATCTTGAACGCAATATCTATACGTAGAAGTGTTGTGCGTGTTTCGGTTTCAAAATGACGATCATTTTACACAGCCGCACACCGACGGTGCGGATATAAATATTTGTTCGGTCTAATTTGTACCTTCGCTGTGGGTGCGTTTGGTATATATAAACTTGTGACCTTGGATACTGTACCAATCATTAGATTTGTATATGACTCAACAACAAGATAAAACACCTCTCAGAGTTGAATCCCACAGGTTTACCTATTTAAGGCTGACAATTGACAAAACGACATCGTACATACGTGATTGAAGGTGCTGTCAGAGATCTTCTTGACGTTGCTGTCAGAAGATAAAAAGTTGGTGACGGCGGAGAACATATTGTCGATTAGTGTATGTTGATTTACAAGACGTGCTGATTGAACTAAACAGATACTGTGTGTACTGTATTTGTTTACGTTTGTATGAAGCAATTCCCCACTTTAAATAATAATAAAAATACACATATTTAACTGTTCCGTGTTTTTATTGGTTACCGAGTAAGTCTGATTAAAAAAAGCCCCGGGGGCAGGGGTATGTATATATATATATATTTCCGGTGAAATCACTATCAGTCAAATCACCTGTCAAATCACCCAAATCAGTAAATCACAGAGGGCCAGCCTGTCAGCCTGTCAGGATCAACAGGGCCCCTGCCCCCAAGGCCCAGGGCCCAGAGCCCAGGGCCCAGGAACAACCGACCGAACAGTTTAGGACATATTTTCTGATATTTATCTTATGTTTTTTCATCCTTAAAACTAATATCATACCATTCGCTGTTTCAATGGAGAATGGATACCGGAGACCAATTGTAATTGTAAACATGATACATATCGTTAAAAGTTAAAACTCGTCCTTTGGAGTTCGTCCGGCTTCGGACGGTCACTTATTCGATCAGCCAACAAATTTTATTCTTGTTTTATTCTTGTCCTCATTTTTATTCTTGCCATGTCCTCTTTCTCTCAAAAGTGGGTCATGATCCTAATTTTCTTTTTAAGTAAAATTGGCGGTCGATAGAGAGAACCATATCGCTCAGACTGCACGCAAACACTGTTTCATTTTCTTTTTTCTTTTTTTCAAAAAACCCCCGAAACATACCTCGTCAAGAGAGTGAAGAGACCGTACAAATATTTCCCCTCACTACTTCGCGTTACGAACGTATAAAAAGGAACACTTTTTACATATACGTTCAACGTTACTGTATGTTTGGCAAGAGGGTGCAACATTTTTACAATAACATATGCACTACAATAGCCCTTCGGACGTTAGTTCGATCCCTTATGTTCTAGTTCTATTCCTATTCTTCTTCTCTCTAAAGGGTCATGCTACAATACCTCGTATAGTCCTATTATTTTCCCACAGTACATATGTAGTTTTTAGACGTTTTCTCCTCCCTTCCACGTTCTAACGTATAAATATCAAAACTCCACTACGTCCAACATATACGCTGCGAATGAAGTCTGAATTACTTACCACAAAAGTGCGAGAGGCTTTCCTCTCTAGAATGTGTATAGGTACATTAGAAAAGTACACCACAAAGCCTCCCAAGGTGAGGCAGTATCACTTTCAAATATATGTATAATATGGAGGTTGTCCGTACGCCAAAGTATTTTGTGTAAACAGACCATACGAGCATATCTGATATTTGGTGAATAGGTGACCAATGATGTTCGTACAGTCTGCCCATTTACGGGTACCGCTGTTTGCATTTATGATAATATTGGCGGTCACATCTACATCAAACCCAGATGTTAGAGGAATATGCACAGTCACCAAAGATCACAATAGATGAGCTACCTATAATAAAATTACTGTGCAATGTGACACTGGTGGTGTTTGACTGTGACAACATGATTGCGGTTTGTAATGCAGATTCTGCAGTGTTTGCCACCAATGTCCGCCAGCTCAATGAGCTACTTCCCCAGAAAATCAAACAAACCAGACATGGTAACTTAGTAAATTCGACCAGTATCTGACTTACTATTCACAAACTTGTATTGTGTTATGTTTACATTTATATAAACTTATGTTATAAATATATATATATATATATGTATATATATACAAGTCTATGTATATGTATATGCATATATATATATATATATATATGTGTGTGTGTGTGTGTGTGTGTGTGTGTGCTATATATATAAATATATATATATATATATGTATGTATGGATATATGTATGTATGTACGTATATATGTATGTATTTATGTATGTATGTATATATGTATGTATGTATGTATGTATTATGTATGTGTGTGTGTGTGTATATGTATGTATGCATGTATGTATGTATGTATGTATGTATGTATGTATGTATGTATGTAT